TTAGAACATCACTAAGTGAAAAATGAGAAAATACTTTGTTTTACATGAAAATAATAAAAGAAGTTAAACATCAGGAATTGTTCACTATCATTGTAGATGTATAGCTTTAATAACAGCACATGGGGATGGCATAGCTACGTTTGTGCTTGTTTTAAATCGGATGCAGCAGCAACAGAGCAAACGTGTCTGCATTTAAATTTAACATAGATCTCCTCAAATTAAGTGAGGACATAAGATACTGCACTAATTATATGTGTTTCCATGCCATCTACTAACAAGGGAGGGAATAATTGGATTAATGGAGCATGGAGAGGGTGTAAACACCCTACTCTGGCAGTGGAGAACTGGGAACTGGCAGCCGTTCTCAACCCTTTGCAAAGCAGATATCCTGCATATCAGATACTTATATTGTTATTCATTAACAGTGGCAAAATTACAGTTACAAAGTAGCAATGGAATAATTTTATGGTTGGGGGCCATCACAACATAAGGAACTGTATTAAAGGGGCACGCATTAGGAAGATAGGGAACCACTGGTTTAGGGGCTGGGGATATGGCTCGGTGCAAAGGGCTTTCCATGCAAACATGAGGACCTGAGTTCAGATTCCCAGCACCAGTGTAGAAACTCATGTGTAGCATTGTGTGATCATAGTCCTACTCCTGGGGAAGCAGAGACAGGAGGATTGCTGAAACTAGAGTAGCCAGGCAGGTTCTAAGTTCAGTGAGGGACTCTTGTCTCCAGAAATTAAGTGGAAGAGCTGGAGAGATGGCTGACTGGATAAAAGGTTGACCATGGAAGAATGAAAACCCAAATTTGATTCCTTGGAACTAGATATAGATGTGGTGATGATCATGTAAAATCCCAGTCCTTCTACAGTGAAACAGAAGAGGTCCCAGCCACTTGCAGGCCAGCTACATACAGTGGTAGAACTGAAACTCAGTGTAGTCCTCTGACCTCTGCATGTGCACCCACACTCATGCAGATGAGTGTGCACACACATCACACACAGTGTAGTGTATAATGTGGGGGCCAGTTGAAGAAGCTACCCAGGCTCAACCTCTGGCCTGTACCAAGTACTGTGCACTCACACCTGCACATACTGTGCTTATGAACAGATACACACAGATACAAAACCAAATACTTGCTCTCATTAGAAGAAAATCATTTGTGCCTGTGTGTTCTTGGCTGCTAGGCTCTGTTAACTCTTCTGGGCCTCTGGGGTCTATGTTTACTTAGATACTGGATTTACGTATAGTGGAGCATCACACTGCTGCAAGGATGAAGTACCTGCAAATACAGAACAGTGGGTGAAGCCAAGAGAAAGAAGCCATATCCCAAGATTCCACTCATAGGCATTATAGTAATAGGCCAGCCAAACTATGATATTTCAAGTCAGGAGAGCAGTTTTCTTGGTGCCGGGGGATGATGGAAGAAGGAATTCTTCCAATATGGTTATTGGATTCACAGGTGAATGAATACTCTTGTCAAAATCATGTACACATAATGACTACACTCAGTGTATGTTATTCCTAATAAACAAGTTTTAAAAGGAATGGAGCTGAAACTTACCTGAAGACAAATGCGTGATACTTGTAGTTGTTTCATACTTCCTATTGATTTTCTCTGGTCTAACCTGATTTTGTTATTAGTTGAGAACGTATTACCAAAACTGTTTCTTTGCCCTTATTCGTGCAAAGTGAATGAGGGTGTCTTCCCCTCCAGCTGCCTCCTGTGGTGCCTTCAAAGTTGCTAGAAAAGACAGCGGCCATGCTGCAGTGTGCACTTGGGCTGCTTCCCAGCAGATGCAACTGCTGTTTCTTAACTAAACTTGAGACCCAGCAAAAAGAGGGAAAGCCTTGCAAACAAGATGAGCCTGAGGATGAACTGAGGGTTAGGGTCAGTTCAGAGACAGAGAGGAGAGCTGGCTACCTGGTCAGGGAGCTGTATCCAGGATGACTCCATTTCCCAGTCATCCTCACTAGCTGCAGCAAGCTGCCCCATGCTTCACGGAGTCTAGTGCACCTGAAATAATCACTCACTATTAAATTGACACCCAGAGGCTTTTCAAATCAAATTTCAATTTATTTTTGCAGAAGGAGGTAAAATATACTGAATATTTTACAAACTCAAAATGAGTGGGGACTAAGCAGAGTTGGTATCTCATGGTGGGATCTGATGGTGGTTATTGAGTGTCGTGTGAATACAAGCACACTGAAATGACAGAAGTTGGTTTTGTTTTTTTTTTTTGTTTTTTTTTTTTGTTTTTTTTTTTTGGTTTTTCGAGACAGGGTTTCTCTGTATTGTTTTTTGGAGGCTGTCCTGGAACTCGCGCTGTAGACCAGGCTGGCCTGGAACTCACAGAGATCCGATTGCCTCTGCCTCCTGAGTGCTGGGATTAAAGGCGTGCATCACCAACGCCCGGCGAAATGACAGAAATTTTTAAATCTAGTTTATCTAGAGTGTTTTGTTAGCTCATTAGAATATCCCAGCTTAAAGATTCAACTGCCGTTGTCCCACAGCCCTTTGGGAAATCCTAGTTTACAATAAAGCGCCTTGGTTCACACTCCCAACACAGTTTCTAATGGTAGATCTTAATCTGTTAGCATTTTTAACAGGAAGTGCTAGGATTTGATTACTGATTGATAAATGACATCTCGGAACAGGTACTATATATAATGGATTGCTGGTGACCATATACAGATGCAATCTAAGAGCCCATGTGAACATAGAGGGACTGGAAATCTTTTTCCTGGAGTTGCCTGTGAATCTGTATTTCCTGTAAAGCTTTGAAGTTTGAAGACTGCTTTTAAATATTGTCATAAGCATCATAAGCAGCCAAAGTAAACCTGTGCTGGCCTCTGCCTCACATGTAAATAGCCAAGGGAACCAGCTGGTGGGAGGTCACACTCAATCCCCCCTCCCCCGCTTCTTTGTTTTAATGGAAAGAGAAGGTGGTCTTCATTGTTAATATAAACAATTTCAACTACAAAAAAAAAAAGACATGTCTGAAAGTTAAGCTGTTGAAACAAAGATGTTTTGTTTATTTGAATTTTGGAGATGTCATCTCTCCAGTGTGCCTGTGTACATGATGAAATTTGGAAATCTGTCTTCGAATCATCATTTAAAAATAACATGGTTATTCATAGATATGTAGTAGTATATGGTAATGCTTTATAAAAAAAAAGCAGTTTGTTCTATGAATAAGCTACTTTCCATTATTGGGTATAGTAATCGCGAAGACTTCCTCTGAGCAGTCTTACAAATTAATCTGAAATTTTTCTTATATAGATATTTTCAATAAACAAAATGCTATTGCCTTATACCCAAGAGTCTTATGTTGTATTTTTGTTGTTTTAAACTAACTTCATGTCTCCCTCTTAAAAATCAATAGGAAAACCAACTTCATTGCATAGCGGTAGATAGAATGGTTTTCTGTTATGTAATTCTAGTTTGGGTTTCCAGGTTTTGTCCAGAACACATCTAACACACAGAGCAGGTGTTTTGGGTTTTTGTTTTTTGGTTTTTCGAGACAGGGTTTCTCTGTATTGTTTTGGAGGCTGTCTTGGAACTCTCTGTAGACCAGGCTGGCCTCGAACTCACAGAGATCCACCTGCCTCTGCATCCCAAGTGCTGAGATTAAAGGCATGCACCACCAACGCCTGGCAGAGCAGATGTTTTTTTAAACCAAGTATTTTTATTAGTAATGTCAAGGTCTCAAGTTTAAATTAAATGCTACTAAAATAAAACCACTTAAATAGTGTTTCTTAACCTTTTTTTTTTTCTTAATGGGGAAAATGGAGTTTCCTACACAGGACACAGGCATAAAACTTGGCTTTTCTGAGTCAAGGTAAGCTTTGATCTTGAGACCCCTGCCTCCTGAGACGGTAGGAGCAGGAGTTACAGGCCTGGGCTTCTAAGACGTTGTTTACCTGGGTATGCTTTGGAGTCTCCTCCTGAGCATAGAGGTAAAAATGCAGATTCACAGGCTTGCGGGCCACTAGCCTGCATTTAGCCAGTCATCTTAGTCAGAAGCTAGTAAAGTGTGAGGTCTGCTCTGGAGCAGTGCATGGTAGTGGATGACCCAGAGCTTGTACTGCAAGTCCCTCAGGCAGAAGGTTAATAATAAACCCAGAAGACAGACTGAACCAAGATAGGTCCTTCTTTCTCCTCAGTTGTAAAATTCATGTTTAATTCTCCCCTTGTCACGGTGAAGCTTAGTGGTCCTGGTTTTCCCGTAAAATGCCAGATTGATTCTGATCACTTAACCACATACAAACAAACTGTCTTGCTCTCCATACTTACAAATACATTGATGTGAATTCCTGTAGAAGAGCAAGTATCGAATGGAACTGCCATCAAATGCCTTCAGTCCTTCCTAAGTAGACCTCCAGTGATGTGTCAGGGACAGATGCAGCAGGTGGAACCAGTGCCACCTTCAATTTAAAAATGACGTGATTTTACCAGCTGTGGAGGGGGTTCCTTACATGCTGCAAGGTAGGGCAGGTGGCACATTTCTGCCCCACGCTTTTCCTCAGACCACCTTTAGTCTCACCCTTTCTACAAACCTTCACTCACTAAGCTGCATGCCAATGACTCAGGTAGCTAGCTCGGTGGCTCTGGAGGATAAAAATGCTTGCCATGCAAGCCTGAGGACCTGAGTTCAATTCCTGGAACTGTGTAAAGGTGGCAGTATTTGCACCTACACCCACTCGCACACATCATACACACACGCCATACAATAACAACAAACTTTAACGTCTTAAAAAAGAAGTTCTCTCCCATCGTAATGGGCCGTATCTTGTCCAGTCCATTTGTGAAACTGAATTTGGCTTCAAGTAGTTCGACAACCCTTTCAATAAATACTAGTTATCTCTGTTCTCTCAGAATTGATCCGTCTTTCCCATTTCATTATAAAAGGAAGCTTTATTTCAGCGTAGCAAGTGCATTGTCTGAACTCATCAACACCCTCTCTGTCCCTCCCCTCCCCCGTTTGTTGCAGACCAGGATGAAAGAGCAGCTGAGCTCAGCAGGGAGCAGAATGAGAAAACCATCCGGAGCACGCAGACCGCGCTCCGCAATTTCCGGGAGTTCCTCATCTCCAAGTACCCTTCTGAAACCAGAGAGATCTATGTCATCCCTTGCAAGGAGCTAGATGCCTACCTTGCCTCCTTCTTCGTGGATGCCAGGCAGAAGGATGGGTCCGAGTATGAACCCAACAGCTTGGCGAATTACCAGTGTGGGCTGGAACGGTACCTGAAAGAACACAGGTATGGCTACAGCATCACCAGGGACAAGGAGTTCAAGCGTTCCCAGGAGGCCCTGAAGCAGAAGCAGATTGAGCTCCGCTGCAAAGGGAAAGGAAACAAGCCACACAAGTCCATGAAGCTCACCTTTGCCGACGAGCTCATACTGCGTAAGAGGGGACTGCTGAGCAGGTATAACCCCGAGGGTCTGCTCAATCTTGTCTGGCTCAACAACACAAAAGCTTTTGGGCACTGCACAGGCTTCCATGGATCCACCTTGAAATGGGGCGATATCCGGCTCCGGGTCACAGAAACTGGGCTCGAGTATTTGGAATGGATGGGTCAGGACACTGGCGATCTGAACGCCAAAACCAAGAGAGGAGGGACAGACTCACGAGTCTATGCCACCCAGCATGCCCCACAGACCTGCCCGGTGCAGGACTATAAAGAATATGCCCAGAGGAGGCCTCCTGCGATGCGCTATGAGGATGCCCCCTTCTACTTGTCCATCAAGCCAGTGGTGAACTTGGCGGCTCTGCACTGGTACAACTGCCAGGCCCTTGGCAAGAACAAGCTAGCCAAGATGGTGAAGACCATGTGCGAGAAGGGCAACATCCCTGGCAGGAAAACCAACTTCAGTGTCTACCAGAGCTGCAGCACCTTGTCGGAGGCCCAGAGTAACCAGCTGGTGCTCATCTGCAACAACTTGAGCCAGCAGGCTGCCCAGTCCGTGGCTGGTCACTCCAACAGCAGCAACTTCATTGTCTCCTCTTACGACTCTTCCTCAGACACAGCTTGACCAGGTGGCTTGCTCCGAGACCTCACTTTGGTGTCTGTGTCCCAAGAAACTGTCATTGTATACTGCTGCGTCTCGTCGCCTTTCACCTGCCCTCAGTGTTAACTTTATAAAATGCAAATCTATATTTTTTCTTTTTACAGATAAGCCAATGGCAATAGTTTAGTATCACTAACACAGTATTTATAGGCTTGAGACAAATACGTGTGCTTGTGGGTGATTACATACAATTGCTGTTACAGACTTGGCAAAACCATCGTGGTTCTCAGGCAATGGTAGAGAAGGAATTCCGTTTTTTAAAAACCTGCCAGAAAGGAAACCCAGAGTCATTCAAGACGCTGTGTCCCCGCTCCTCCTCCTCGCCTCCTGCTTTTAATCTCCTTCACAGATGGATTTATTTTTTTAATTTTTAAAAATTCTATATGAGTCTGGAGGAAATGTTGAAAGGGTGTCAGGCTCAGCCTCAAGTTATTTGCGTATATTTTTAGTGTAGGTTTAGCTGCTGGGCCTCAGTTTCCACCATATATAAAGATCTTTTCTTTGGCAGGGGGCAGGGTAGAAGGAGGAGTAAAGGTGCCATTCTTTTTTTGAAAGATGTCTCATTTTTAAATAATACACAAAATCTGAATGCTGGGGGAGGGGGACTGTTACGTAGCTCATTTTTAGTGGTGTACTTGGACCTGCATAGAATATTCTTTTTCCCTAAGTTAGTTTCCCTAAATGAGTTTGATCATCAGACTTTTCAAGAAATTTTAAACTTTGAAAGTATTTCCAAGTGCTAGATTGTATATCAAGCATAAAAGAGAAGGTAGAAAATGGAGGCCCCACTAAAAATCTGGAAGCATTGGTGGAGGCAATAAGCTGCAGTATTCTGTGACTATTTCTAATCATCAAATCCAGCCCTTTCCCTTAGGGGGTCACTTGACTCTGCACGTAAGATCAAAAGAGCCTTGACACCCATCTTAAACCACAATATTTTGTTACCAGGCTTAGCAGAACTCAAAGCATTCTTGAGTTTCTTCTCAGTAAATAGAAATGCATTTGTCTGTGGTACTCTGTAGTTGGAATAATTTTGATTAAACATTTGTGGTGGTTTTTCCAGTCTTTGTTTTCAAGTCTTAAGGACTGAAGTAAATTATTAGTTAAAACACTTGAAAATCAATTAAATCTAGATATTAGAATCACAGTTCCTTCCCACCCTGTGCAGTCAGTCACACATAAAGGCTCTAAAAACCATCATTGGGTTGTCACAGCTGAGCACCCTGTTGGAGACATGTTTATTCTTCAGGCCAACCTTGTAACTCACATTAGCTTGGAAGGTAGGTGTTATTTTATTATCTTCTGATACTAAAAGAGGAGTATTTTTATTTTCTTTACTAAATTGTCACAGAGTTGAGCTTTTCCTTGGCTAGGTGGCTCTTCACATCGATATGAAGTAAGCACACAAAGGCCTTTCTTCCAGGCTATGGTCTTGAGGGCCAAACTGGCAGGTGTGTCTGGGGCATTCATGGGTAGAAGTAACTTGATGAGCCTGTCCTGAGAGAAGCCTTGTTTAAAAAAGGTGTGTATGTTTCTAGGCAAGCATTATCTAAGTCCTTTGCGCAAGCAAGTTATCCTCGCTTTATGGTGAAGTCAGTTAGATGAAGAAGGGGTCTGCCTTCTCACCCCAGCCTTTTCCTATTCACCTTCTTCAGTACAGGCTAGTTGTTGGTTTGGGAGGTTTGACCCAGAGATGGGAACAGTGTCTTTCCATTGCTGAAGGCTGTCTAGTTTAAAGGAATGCTGGGTGATCCTTCAAGGTTGCACACTATGCTCGAATCCACCTCCCCATTGCCTCCACTTAAACATACAAGCTGCTTTCTCCCTGCTCCTCTGCAAACCCTCCCTACTCTCTCCCCATCCCTGCAAACCCTCCCCACCCCTGCAAACCTTTCCCACTCTCTCTCCACCCCTGCAAACCCTCCCCATTTTCTCCCCACTCTTGGAGTTAAAACTTCTTAAAGGCTGTCTTTATGTAGCATACCTGTCATTTTTTATCGTCATAGTTTTTAAATCCTTAATTGTGCTGGCAGCAGAGTTGGTTTTGAGAAAGGGAGCCTATCACTGTGCACTGAACAGAGAGGATGGAACTAGGCAGTTCTGAGTCCCTGCTGGTGTTGTTGAGTACTGACAGAACATGTGTCCTGCTTAATCTTAAGTGCTACATTTTCATCAAGACAGTTATATCAATAATGTCAGTGACTTTATTTATGTTTTGCTGTGATAACTAACCAAATAGGAACACTGTGATATTTAAAACAACTTTTTGAAAAAACAGCTTACTAGAAGAAGCATAGCCAATTTAGAACCTCTTTAATTAAATTATAAAAAGTCTGTGACTACCTCTATGTTTTGTATTTTTATCTAAACAATACTGAGGACATACCACTGCCAGATGCCGTTTTTATTACTTGGAATTTTAACTTAGAAAAAATATTCCACTCCATGGCAGAGATGCACACCAGCACTTATCATGGTTATTAGGGCTAATGTGAAATGTTTTGTACATAATTTATGTCAACTATTAAATATTTATGTCATAATTTTAAATATCTTAAAATTTCCCTGTTAATTCATTTTCTCTTAAGTTATTGTGTTGTGTTCTGTTTGATACAGGGTTTTACCACGTAGTCCATGCTAACCCCTGTGCTGGGGTTACATGAAAGCAATACCATATACAGCTCATTTCCTTAAAGTATTACCTGGTCTACAGTATATTGCCTGCATCATTTCTGATGTAGGTTAAGTCTCTGATTTTCCAGCTAGGTTTTTATTGGAAACTTAACATCCAGAGCCATACTATCAATGCACTTACTGAGATGAATGAACGTTTATGACTGTGTAGGCAAATATTATTGAATATCCAGTCGGTGGGAAGTCGGTGAAGATGTGTAAGCTCTTCCTGTTTTCAAAGAAGAGAAAAATGTAAAAGCTCCATAATGAAAGTTGAGAGCCCCCCCCCATGCTGACCCTGCATTGTCTTTCACACTCGGTGCTCCAGCCGTTCCTTAAGTCGGTGAATATTCCAATTTGCTGCAGAATGTATCCCACTTCTTTGAGTGTTTTTTAAAATTTTTTTATTTTGTGTGCATTGGTGTTTTGCCTGTCTGTATATCTGTGTGAGGATGTCAGGCCCCCTAGAACTGAACTTACAGACACATGTGAGCTACCATGTGAATGCTGGGAATTGAACCCGGGTCCTCTGGAAGAACAGTCAGTGCTCTTAGCCACTGAGCCATCTTTCTAGCCCCCTCTTTGAATATTTTATGAAGACTTTTCCTTAGAGCCACCCCCCCCACCCAAGACAGGGTTTTTCTCTCTATAGTCCTGGCTGGCTTGTAACTTATTCTGTAGATCTGCCAAGTGCTGGCTGGGATAGAGCTTTTCTTAAAATCAGTAATAAGGTGAAGCCATTTGTGTGCCATGGCTGTCTTCACACTGCACTCACATGGGAGTATCAGGCTCTGCTGTGATAGTCATTTGTTAGAATGTACAGTGTGCCCCTGCACCAGGTGCTTCTGTAAATTATCTTTATCAGGTACCATTTTAAGTGAGCGGTGCTGCTCTTTTGTAAGGGTGAACATCAGATGGGTGGCCCGCGTCAGTCGCAGAATGAATGGGTGGGGCCAGCGGTCCCTGAAGTGCACCCTGATCCCACAAGCCCTGGCCTTCGCCCGTGGCTACTGTTCCCATGCCACCCACACCTGCTCTGTTAGTGCTGCACCCTGGGGCCCTGCAGTTAGGCAAGGCTGGCCTTTCATGAGGGTATGAAAACTCCAGCCGTCCTTACCATCAGACAGGTCTGGGAACCCAGAAACACACCCTCCAGTCACTGCTGTATTTCTAGTGATAACGGATAAAGAGGAATTGTATTGATAAGCTACCAACAACTATGATTTGACCTTTCTAAGCAGAGAAAAGGAAGACTGATCTTTCAAGGCCCAGCTTACTTGAAAATTGACCAACGGGATTTGCCCAAACTGAGTGAAAGGCCTGATTTGGTAT